TTAAATATGAATAGCTCCTGTTTTAAAGTTGAACGCCTTATCGTGGGCGGGGTGCATCCTGCCATCAGCCGTGGTGGGATCTGCCAGTAGCGCAGAAGAAGTGCACAGGGATCTTCCGAAACCCCTCGCTCAGCCAAGACCATCCAACTCTACAGACAATGAAAGGCAAGCTGAAGAAAAATCTGACGCTGGGCACATAATTAATAACAAGAGCCTTAATGACTCTTTCAAGTTCATCAGCAGAGCGTTACAATGGCAGGTCTCTAGCCGGCACGGTGTCGGGATGGCCTTCAGCACACATGCTCTGAATTAGTCATGCCTTCCTGGCTGGACCATGCAAGAGCCGAGGAAGGCTGATCAAGTTTAGCGGGCCTCTGTTACTGAGAAACGGAGGAAAGTTTGCTGTGCCTCTCCTCTTTTTTTTTCCCCCTGTCAAGAAGAAACCCTTCTGGCTTTGTTGTAAGTGTGGTTTGTAATCATTGTACACATCCCAGATGGTTCATGAAAACTCTTTGAAATGCCATCTGCCAGGCGTGTGTCCAGCCGACAGCCTGTCATTCTGCTACAAGAAAGGCAGAGGCGGAGTTCTGCTTTCCCCTGCCTTTCTGAATCTCATTCAGTAACACTTGCTCACATTGCTTGGCAGGAGAGCTGCATCTGAGAGCAATCTTGGGCCTAGATAGCAACCTGGATTTTTTTTTTTTAAAGTCTCTCCCCAGATAAGATATCCCAACATGTGTGGTTTTATTTCTCCCCCGTTCAGTATGGGAGAGCCAGGCGAGGTGACAAATGGCATCTCAATGATGCAGTGTTTTTGTCTTCCACGACGGCTCGGCGTGCCTAATGCTTTCCATGTGTGCTGGAGACCGCCGCGCTCGCAGCCAGCACATCTGTGATTTCTCCAGCTTGAACATTTTCAGGAAATTAAGAACACCGCGATGAAGCACACGCACCCATCGAAATGGACGGAGGAATTGTACCAAAGATAGAATTGTTCAGTAAAAAAAGACAAGCTGGGATAATAAAACTTTAGGTGCCTTTTCACTGTTGCAAAAAAAAAAAAAGAGAGAGAGAGAGTGAGTGGAGGAGAAAAGGTTAATGAATCCTGTCTGCAGGAGCAAAGAAAGTCAGTGGAGGGCATTATAATACTGGGGTCTGCAGATTATGTCTAAGAAGTCCACAGAAGATGACTATAATCAATCAAAAGTATGATAAATACCATTTCATCATATGAACGATATCATTTAATATCAAGTATCAGAATTATACCCACACTTGCAATGCAGAGAAGTCTGCACCTCCATTCAAAACATTTTAGGGGGCCCCGCAAACGAAAACGAGGTTGAAAACCACTGTTTTAGAAGATAGTGATGCGAGTCCTGATGTTGACACCCCTTATCTGTGACGGATCTGAGTTACGGGGCAGTCAGAGAGCCACCCACCGTATTCAGCATGAGGAACTTGATTACTTGGGTTGGCTTCTACTGGATATGGAAGGACAGATTTTTTAGACTCAGATCCATTGTGGCCCCCGTTCATCAGCCCCAATGGGCAAATGTGGTAGGGATGGCACCCTGTACATACCTAACCCCATGTCCAAGGGAAAGAGGAGGAACTGTGGTAGTACACAGGCTACTTTTAGGCAGCACATGGCTTTGAGGGCGTCACTGCTGCCAGAACATCTGGAATAGAAACTTGGCTTCAGTCGTGAATACAAAGAGTCCAAAGATGACTTTAAGCCTCATCCTCAAAGGTATTTGGGCACCTCCAGGCTCCAGACCTCTCTGATTTCAATGGCACCTGTGTGGCCCCGGCAGTCTTTGCTGCCCAAGTGTAGAGGGGCTGGACATGATGAACTGTAAAGTCCCTTCCAGCCCCTAACATCGATGAAACTATGAAACCTAGGGAGGAATTAAGCATCTAAATAATTTCTGAGAATTCAGGCCTTAAACACCCTCATCCTTGTCCTCACCTTCCCATGCCCTGACAGACCCAGGGTCTAGTCCAGGAACAGAGAATTTGCACCGTGTTAAAGGCAAACCATGAGTAGGGGAGAGGTGTGATGGTGACTAACATGAATGAAATCTCTCGTGACCATTTTTTTTTCTGGGTAAGGACCTTCAGATGGGCAATGAAAATGGGCATGCCCCAATGCAGATCATCAACAGGTAACACATAAGGAGCGTGGCTTTCTCCAGAGTGATTTCTGGAGCTCTCTGTCAAGGGGATAGAGTAAAACCCCATCTCTCTTTCTCCATCACATGCAAAAACTTCTGCCAGGTTGCCAGTAAAGTGGCTAAATTTATTCACTAGCAGCTTTCCCTAGAAGCTGGGATCTTCCCTGCAGTTTTTTGAGAGTCAAACCCCTGTAGAAGTGCAGTCATGTAATTCAGCCTAGTATAGAGGATAGAAGAGGTTGCACTTGCTGAGGTGCAGGTGCCTTCCAGAAGGAAACATCCTACTGACAAGTCATACCTGGTTAAATGGCACATGTAGTTTTCTATACCTTTAAAGCTGTCCCTGATTCAACTGCCTGGCCAGCTTGCGCACATGCCTTCAAGCATCCCACGCTGCCCTTCCTCCTGAAGCTGCATTTGTCGTGGTATCTGTGAAGCCGCCAGTCTGTCCCTTTTCACGTGTACTGAATTCCCTTGGCCTCCGGGGGCCACTTACAGGAAGTGAACACGATTGAACAGGAATCAATAGATATCAGTTAAACCGCACTCAATGATTTAAAAAAAAACAGAGGAACAGGCTACCTCAGCAAAGGGAAGGAGGGTCTTGAAAGGACTAACTTGAGTCACGCTCTGACGGGCAGTCAAATGGGATGCATGGGATTTAGGAGATGATAAAGCATCAGTGTGAGAGGCCTGCTCCCACTCCTCTTGTGATCATGCCAGAGAGCGGCGTCCCTGCTACTTTCAGCCTTTGAGGAGATGCCCAGCCTCTCGGCAACGATAACCAGACCCAAGCTATCTAGATTGAAGATTGAAGGTATGAATGCTTGCACTGCTCAGCAGCAAAAAGGGATCCAATGTGGTTCATGGAGAATCAATATGGATCAATTGTAGTGAAGAAGTGGGCTGTGCTAGTTGAAGTTAGTCCAGTTTTGGGCCCCAGCTACAGAAAGGATGTGGACAAATTGGAAAGAGTCCAGTGGAGGGCAATGCAAATGGTTCAGGGGTTGGAGGATGTGACTTGGGAGGAGAGCTGAGGGAAGTGGGCTTATTTAGTCTGCAGAAAAGAAGACCAAGGGGGGATTTGATAGCAGCCTTCAAATCCTTGAAGGGGTGTTGCAAAGAGGATGGAGCTGGGCTGTTCTCAGTGGAGGCAGATGGCAGGACAAGGAGCAATGGGCTTATGTTGCAGTAAGGGAAATTTAGTTCGATATTAGGAAAAATTTTCTCACTAGGAGGGTGGAAAAGCACTGGAACAGGTTACCCAGAGAGGTGGTGGACTCTCCATCCTTGGAGGTGTTTAAGACCCGGGTAGACAAAGCCTTGGCTGGGATGATGTAGTTGGGGCTGGTCCTGCTTGGACAAGGGGGTTGGACTAGATGTGACCTCCTGAGGTCCCTTCAACCCTCATTGTCTATGATGTTATAATAAGTTTTCAATGTGCTTTTAAGGTTAGCCCCTCAAAGAAAGCATTGCAATCATTGAATCTAATCTGAAGGTCATAGCCACATGAATGAGTGGGGAGGGTGTGACCACTGGCACATTTAAGTGTAGTGTAAGTGAGAGTGGGCGTATCTACACGTTCATTAATGCAGTTTTGCTACAGTGCATTAAATTTAGTATCTCTAATGTGAGGTACTAAATAAGTGTGCATTAGGCTGTCATAATGCGCAGCAGGAAAAGCACATGCTTTTTTAAGTGGCACCCACTGTGCAAATAGCCTGTTTTTACTGTGCATTCACATATTAGCACGATTTTTGACATGACGCCTTAATGCGCAGTAAAATAGGCTAATGCACATTAAAGTGCACGTGTAGACGTGCCCAGTAGCAACCAGCACCATGGTCCAAGGCAGCAGGAATCCCAGAGCACTGTGGGGCTCAAGGGGAGAGGGGTAGCAGGAGCCATGCAACGAAGAAGAGGGGTGTTTACCTTGAGAAGCTTCACCGTCTTGTGTTTTCAAACGCTTGAGTATTTAAATTGGTAATCTTACTCTGTTGCAGGTTTAAAAAACAACACCAACCAAGCCCTGGTTTTTAGAAAGTGTTTGGGATTCAGAGATGACTCTGTTTAAAATGAGGCGTGTTTCTTGAATGGGATGAATGAAAGTTCAGGCAAATTCATCTTACCAGTTGTTTATATATTATATCCACATTATAGTGTGTGGTCTGTGCATATGTATGTGCATTAGTTTGCATTTCATAACCTTTTCCAGTACTCAGTGAAAAATATTAGCAATAATAAAGATAAAATAAGAGCTACAGGCAAGGGAGAAAGGGGATATTCAGCTGAAATGTGAAAGGAGCTGATGAGTTGCAGAGATACATGGAAACTGCTCCAGATAATGGGAGCTGGGAAAAAAAGGCTCCTCATCTAGGGATATATTTTGTGTAGCATTCAGATGTGGGCTGGGGTTTTTTTTTTCCTATCACTTCACATGAGAGGAAGTAAAATAAGATCCTACGCTGGCAACAGTCAGATAATTGTTGATGCCTTCCCGAGCACCAAATGCCGGCAGATGTCTCTTTGCTTGTGATAGAAGAGATTTCTTCAAACAGGCTCATCTGGTGTAGCCCAGACAGAGGAAGGTAAAACAGTGGGGTAATACCAAGTTTTTTGGACATACGGCGCTGTACCTTCCCTTTTGTATTTCCATTGGGCTGCAGGTCTAGAGTCTGAATGGACCCCTTGGGTTTCTTTCTGCCTAGCAGCTATGGCAGAATTAATGTCCTGATGCCTTCATTGCCCTAAAAGAGATCTCGGGCTCCTGCTTCATTCCTGATGGTACAACTGCAGCACTAACTTTTGGTTTTCTCCCTTTAGGCACAACCCGCCCTCCAAGAGAAGGAGAAGTGCCTGGTGTGGACTATAACTTCCTGACTGTGCAGGAGTTTCTGGAGCTTGAGCAGAGCGGGACCCTTCTTGAAGTAGGAACATATGAAGGTATGGCCCAATGGGGACCTGGTTCCAAAACCCACGCTGAACGAGGTGTTTAATTAGTACCTGCAAGCTGCCTGATCTTTGCTAGGATTTTACCTGGAGTTAGCTACCGTAAGTTAAGAACAGACCTTTTATCCTTATGAAGAGACACCTTCATAAGGTGATGCAGGTTCCCAAACTTTTTTGGGTTCTTCCCCCACCCGTCTCCATTCGTGCGCAGCTTTCGTTAACTCTCCTTTTCAAGTTCTTCACCAGAAACACGTTGGCCTTTGCTTCTGAAGGCGGTTTCCTGTTCAGACAAATGAGTATGTGATGCTGGGCAGGTTTCATGGTCTTGGGCTGACTTGAACTCCCTCATTGTAGGTGGAGAATTAAGTGCAAATAATCACTGGCGCTTTCCAGCAGGAAGGAAACTCTATGAAATGCTGGGTTGGGTTCTCCTATGTGTTGTAGCCTCTTTACATGCCCCTGGCAATGCTAAGGAGATCTTGCAAGAGGCCTAGGTAACATTTCCCTTCTCCCAGGGCTCACCTCTGCTGGTACAGATGCACAAAAAGGCCTTTGGGGGACTGAGGATCCGGCCCGTTGTTTCTAGAGCCACGCTCTTCCTTTGCTTACAACACTGAGAGAGGCGATGCACAGGCAGAGATGCTAAAATAAAGGCAGCCAAAATAAATAAATCCAACCCTTGTCAAAATATGTTCCTATCTTGAAAGGCAATCGGGACTCGAAGTCGAGATGATATCTTTTATTAGAGCAGCAAGATTTTTGCGAAAACAAAAAAATTCTTTAGTTGCAAATTAACAATTAAAAAATTTCTTTAGTTCTTTAAAGAATTTAACTTACATTCTTTAAGTTTCTATCTTGAGAGTGTCAAATGGATGCTGTCGTTTCGTTAAGTGAAGAAGAGTATGAAGAAATGTTTATTTTTCAGCCTTTAAAAGAGTAATAGGAAGCATATAAAAAAATCCAAGCTACACTTAAACGGCTGATATCAACTGATTTAGAGGTCTGTGCATGTGAACTAAGTTGGGATTGCCGGTAAAATAAATCCCATACATTTATTTTTCTTTTTACCAAGCCAATTTTTCTAAGCTCCTTTGCGAGGGTCACCTCAGAGCATCGAGTTCTCAAGCATGGGGAGTTACATCGTTCAGCCTGTATCGGTTTAGCCGTGTATGACAATACAAAATTTATGGGGGGGTTTCACTTCTCCAGTGCTGTGAGTTGATCAGCTCAACCAGCACCACAGCTAAAACGCCGGCAGAAGAACTACTGGAAAATGAGCTTTTTTTCTCCTTTCCCTGTTTCTAATTATAACACTAAATTAGTTTTCTTTGTCATGGCACTGAAAATAGATCAGCTCAACTGCCTCCCCATTACATCCCAAACCTATTTGTTCTGTTGACCTTTCCACTTGGAAAGGCAAAATGAGAAGCTATCTCTAAGATGGCTCTTGGGACATGCCAGGAATATGTTTTTTGGAGATTGGTGCACCCAGCTGGGGCATGTTAAACATGGCCCTTTCGCAGATCATACGTTTATATGTGCAATGGATTAAGTAACACAGATTTCATAGGGGTTTTTTTTTTTCAAGTTTCAGAGAATCTTCCTGTTCATTTAGTCCTTTTCTTGCTACACTAAGTGATACCAAATTTTGAGGCATGCCAAACTGTGGGGCCTGCTTTTCAGAAATGTTGAGCAGCTTCATCTCCTAGGGGCATCCGCTGGATTTGGCGCTGGTCAGCACTTCTGGCCGTTCAACGATGGAGCTATCTAAAAGGAAATCGATGACAATAAAGACATTCGTGATGATAATGTGGATGTATACATATGCATCAAGGCATATTAACATTTGATTGTAATGTGCAAAAAGGCCTGTTCATTTATCACTTGCTCCACCAGGGAGATTTCTTTAATGGGTTTACGTGCTTTTTTTATTTCTTGTGTTAATTTGATTTTTACATGTGGATTGATTTTAATCAGCATTGACCTTGGTTAGGCCACATAATTTAAATGGGATGCAGTGACCACAGGAGTCTCTCTTGAAGTAGAGGCCGTAAATGAACCCCTTCCATCATCCATGTCTGGGCTATTTTTCTGTCACTGAAGGTAGCCCAGTAAAACCTGGGTGGTTTTCAGGATTAGGTTCCCCTACAGAGATGAGGGTTTGCAAAAAGTGTACGCAGAGCCCCAGTTTGTAGCTGTCTTACGACCACTGCTGCACTCCAGCTGATCAGAGAAGCAGTGCCCTTTGAAGGAAAAGCTGCAGCAAAACTGCTGAGAGACTCCTTCATTTGGCAACCCATTGCTGGTTGCAAACTGCATGGATGCAAATGATTCGGGTTCTGCTGCGTTCTTCTAACCCTGCCGCTAACATCACACTGGAAAGCGGTTCCCCAGACCTCGACACAAAGGGGCCTCTTGCAGATCTCGGAGAGAGGCCACTATCCACTTCATTTTGATGCTTTGTGCCATCTTCTATTATAATTCCTCAGGTTTTGCACAAGGTGCTTTTCAGACAGGTGTGAAGGTAAGGTTGCTGCATGAAAGGGCCTCTCATCTCACCAGACAAACTCCAAAGGCAGGGAGTGGCAGGAGGGTGCCTAGCAGAAGAAAACAGTGAAGACACTCAAGACGATAATACGGATGTATACATATGCATCAAGGCATATTAACATTTGATTGTAATGTGCAAGAAGGCCTGTTCATTTATTACTCGCTCCACCAGGGAGATTTCTTTAATGGGAAATTCAGCTTATATCACACCTGTGCTGTTTATGTGGGGTTTGATTAGTTAACCTTCCTCCCTGGGCAGGGTTTGGTGGCCTTTGGGAACAGACAAAGCAGGACAGAGGCATTTGAAATCGGTTAAGCAATAGTCGTGTGGTTAAGAGATCCATGTATTTCCATGGTAGGCGGCAGTAGCGTTAGTAGACGAGTTGTTTGCTTTCAAGGTTTTTATCAAAGCATAAAGTGAAGTAGAGGCTACCAGATAGCACTGGCATTTCCACTCTTCCCGGGGAGCTCTGTGACATCTCCAAGGCCTTTATTTCAGAAAAATGGCGAGAAGCCACCGCCGTCCTCATTGCCCTGTGCTAAGGCTGCGCTTTGAAGGTTGTTCAGAAGTGCACGGCCAAAAGAAGTGACGAAGCTTTGCAAAAGTGGGCATGGTTTTAAAAGCTCACTTGAACTGAACTTAGGAAGCAAGTGTAGAAGTGTTTGAAGCCTGGCTGTGGGGCTGATCTGAGGAAGGGGAGTGTGCAGGGTGGTGTGTCTCACCTCTGCTTGAAGGACGGAGAAAAAAAATGCAAATTCAAGGCAGATCTGAGTGGGGAAGACTGGTGAGTGCCCCTGGGGTCACTGGAAAAGTGTTTGCCAGTTTGCTTTCCTACCATCGAAGGGCAGTGAGCACAAGCTGCTGCAAGCATGCTGTGTCTGAATATGCAGCACTATGTAGCCCGCTTCTTTGACGTTGGAGGCCTAATCACAGTTTGTTTCTGTACAGTGCCAGTAGTTTTATCCATATTGCTCATTGGCCAGGCAGGAGAGCCACCACGTTTTGAATCCCGTCAATGTGTGGTCAGCCTAAAATATTCCAAAATCATGAGTCAGGACCCTAAAAAAACCATTAGATTTGCAGGGAAATAGAATCAATTGTTGGGTTCTTTTAATTTGCCTTCGTGTTTACATTTACTGTTTTTTTTAACCATAAAGTCTGTAAATGTAGTTTAAAAAAAAAAAAAAAGAAAATTGGGATTCTCATGCAATCCCATGACTCCAAGAGCAGGGGCTTTAAGGTGAAACGCCAAATATTCCAGGTCTTGCACTAAAGTCAAAGGAGCTTACAGCCCTGCTCAGACGTTGAGAGATTTGGGATCGTGTAAGTGCCGAGAGGGTTGCTTCCCTGTGTTTAAGCAAAATGGTCATACTTTATGCATGGTCTTGTTTTTTTATGAGGCCAGGTGGTAGCTGGGGATCTAGGAGCGCTGTAATTCCCAGCACTTACAGACTCATCCTGCAGTGCTTTAAACTCTTAGTAATGTCATGGAATTCATGGAGCTGACTATTTAGCAGTTGCTTTTGCGTAGCAAAGGTTGTGGTCCTAACAAGTACCAGCTAGATTGTGAGGGGAGACCCTGAAATGGTTCAAACAGGATGTTGAGCTACAACTTCTGGAGTCTATCCCCTTTTCTCCTAGAGCTATCTGGGTGGCCTGGGACTAGGTAGATAATTGCTCTTCCCCTTCCCTCCCCAACAAGCTTGCAAAATAGTATGGTAACACTTAAGGCTATTACCATTAAAAATTCAAAAGATATCACGCCATGCACACACTTATCGTCTGGTGCAAATGCAGAGGGTATTCACACTGGTATTTCGCATCATTATTCCTATGCCCATTTAGGATTGTCACCGTCTTACACTAGGTGCACAGACACGAAGGAAGATAAACTCGGGTGCTACGATGCAGCAAACACCTGAATTATGAATGGTGATCCCCGTGTGTCACAGAGGTGTTGTGAGGCTTCATTAACAGGTGATTGCAAAGCACTTAGTGATCTTCAAATGAAAAAGTGCCGTGCATTATAACATGTGAAGGCTTATTATATTATGGCGTTATATTGTCCCGGTATCATCTTTCATTCTCATGACAAGTGCTATGTGTTTGCCAAGAAAAGTAATGATGTCATCTGCATTAGTTCCACGGCTGAAAAGTCAAGAGGTGACTTCTTAAGACTGCCAGCGTATATAAAACTAGGTAGCCGGCAACTCTGATTACAGTAATGAATGCCTACAATCGGGTACCTTAGCAGGCTGGCTAGGATATGAGCCAAGAACCCATGGTGTGTTCAGAAATATATACTTGAATTCAAAGAAGCAGCTTTTAGCTTTTCATTTCTGACGTGCTCAGTTCTGCATATGCTTCCCGGCCCTGGCCCTCCTCACTCATCTGTTTTTATGGAAAGGCTGGGGTTTTTGTGTGTTGTTTTTTTTTTATGCTG